GCTTTTATCCTACTCGCTTATAGCTTTAGCACCCAGAAAGTGCACATTCATTCATTTTCCCTTAAGCTCAGAAAGAGCTCCACAAGAGTTTGCAAAAATGGTTCAAATAAAACCTTCAAAGCATCAGGAGCAATCTTAAGACAAGGTACGCACACAGAGAAAGCCACTTAAACATGTCACTGGTCCTTTTTTACAGTGTGTGGTTATGTGATAGAAAAACATGCATCAGAGCAATCTCCTCTCAGCGCATTCCATGTTTGTCTTTTCTAAGTTTGTCTTTTCTTTCACTTATCAACTCAGGGCTTTGCTCTCATCTTGCCAGAGTCCTGTACAAACACAGAAAATCACAGAGATGAATCATGTTGAACTACAAAGAAGCTTTTTGAATTTGAGACAGGAGCCCGGCAGAATTTGTCAAACACGCAAGGAAAGTCATCCCTTGAAGAAAAAAGAAGTTCCAGCATGAGTGAGATCTTTGGAAACAAGCCTAAAAGTAATATAATTAGTTGCAATTTTAATGAAACCATCTGGAGAGACGATGATTAGTAAATTAAATTAGCATGGTTTATTTGCAATTTAAAATTGGCAATTATAAATCATTTCTGGTGTGTAGTTTTTGTGTGTGTATGAGAGAGAGAGAGCGGCACTTCCATCCTCTCCGTCCTTCAACGATGTCAACGACGCAGGGATTGAGGACGCAGCTCTAAAATAACCCGCTTAGCTCCTCCAAGGAGGCGGCACAAAGAAGGAGAAACCAATCATATTTGGCTCTGCTGTTTTTCCCCTTAATCACCCTTAAAAGGGATTAAAACACCTTTTAGGACAAATAAGCCACCTTTAATCCGCCCAAAAAGAAACACCTAAATGATATTACTGTATCCCCCTTTTACATTCTACCACTCCAAACCTCTGACGATCACTTTATAATTGATGTTCCACCAATTTCACGAGTGTTAGCGCATTATATGATTACGGTGTTCTGTGATCAATAGCTGACACATAAATACACTGGATATACTGAATGTAATCTAGCAAAGTGGGAGCTGGGGTTTAATTAGCAGTTGTTAGCAATTTCCTGTGTTGTAGCTCTGCTTCACATTTGGGACCCTTCAGCCTCTCGCAATCATTTTAACAGTAAAGTGCTGCGTTTTATCTGAGCCGCAGAGATGAGATCAAGTAATTTCCATTGCCCTTCTTAAATCATTTCAGCCACTTACACTGTAAACAGTGGAACATGTGTACATCCATAAAGAATAAGACCTAAATCAAATGGAAGCGGAGGCAGTTATAGAGGAGCAGGCCATTTCGAGGATGACTTTACTTATCTCAGTGGCAGAAAGGAAAAAATTGCTCATTTCAGCATCTCTTGTTTTCTGATCTGTTCTTGTCCTGTCCTATGAAAACTTTGACTTCACTTTTGACTGACTTAGAAAGTGGGGGACGTTGCTACATTTTACTACATGTGTCAATAGCCACCCGTTCTCACTCCCGAGGTGTAACATGCCGACGTTTTGTCAC